CCTCTATCTATATCTATCTATCTATATACTTATCTCTTCCTCGGCATCCCCATCTCTCTCTCACGCTCTCTTTCTCTTTTCCTCTTTCTCCAATTTCTTTCTTTATCTCTCTCTCTTCCTCTTTCTCTTATTATTTCTTTATCTCTCTTTCTTTCTTATTATTTCTTTCTATATCTTTCTCTCTCATTCTTTCTTTCCATTTCTCTCTCTCTCATTCTTTCTTTCTATTTCTCTTTATATATCTATCTATTTATCCATCTGCCTGAGTGGCTATCTATCTATCAGTCTATATATCTATCTATCTCATTCACTGTTCTCTCTCTCTCCTGTCTATCTACCTATCTGTCTCCCCCCCCCCCTCTCTCTCTCCTCTCCTAGTCCGTCTTTCCTCCCCTTCTCTCTCTCTCTCTCTATTTCATTCTTTCTTATCATCTCTCTCTATCCCAGTTTTTTTCTGACCATTGTTTTTCATGTTACATTCATCTGTTTTATTATGCAATTCAGCTTTGTATATTTTACTTGTGATTTATTTGAAATACAGTAGCTGAAATGTTTGTACAACCGAGCATTAAACATTATCTCTTTTTACTTTTTTTTTATTTGTGCTCAGTTTGGTGATATCAGAATGTATATTTCTATATACTTCATCTGTCGTTACTGCAAATTTATTTGTTCGGGTAGGTCTGTGTCTTTGATTGCTTTCCATTCTCCCTTAAAACTGAACGAAAACAAGCATATGAATGGGCAAAAGGCAGAGTGGATAGAATGATAATTGTAACGAGCGGAAAGTTCAAGCAGATGAGGACCTGCGGCGCGACTCACCCTTGGGGGGCTCCGGCGACGCGTGGTGGTGCCCTCCGCCGCCGTGGCGTCGCGAGCATCCGCAGGGCCGCACTTTGCTCCGCGCCTCCGTCGCCAGCGTCGGGCCCTGGGTCCTCGTCGTGGGCCTGGCGGGGGACGCCGACCCCTTGCCGATGCTGCCGGTCCTCTTGGGCGGCGTGGAGCGGGACGGGGAGGCTTTGCTCGGCGTGGGACTCGGAGGGGCGCGCGCTCCCCCCGTGGGCGACGCCTTCGAGGGGGCGGCGGGAGGAGAGGCGCCCACGGCCAGGCTGGTGGGGCGGCGGCCCTTGTTCCGCCCTGAAGAAGGGGACGAAGGGGGGCTCGTCTGCTGGTATCCCATCGCGGGCGGTGCGACTACCGATTCCCTCTTGTATTTATCTTTCTCCTCTCTCCTTTTCCCTTTCCTGCTTTCAGTAAGAAACGGCGTCCCTCTCTTATTTTCACCCCTTTCTCGCAGTGCGCCACAAAATATGGATCCGAAACTGAAAAACTAAGAACCAAATGGACTGACGAAGACACAGACAGACAGACAGACGCGCGGGCGATCGGGCGCGAAGGTGCGAGGCAGGGGGAGGGAGGGAGGGAGGGTCACGGACGAGTCTGTACCCCACGACAGTCTGACCAACACTGACTCCCGCCGCTCGCAGCCAGCCCCTCGATCTGCCTTTTGCCCCACGCCCAGAGTGCCCTCCCTGCCCACACTGCCCTCACCCTCTCCGACACGCCCTCTGGCCGCCCACACTACCCAAATCTCCCCCGCCCCACGCCCTTCCTCGCCCACACAACGACCTCCGAGCCGTTTGCTTCTACGATGACTCCTTCCTGGGCGCTGGGGGCTCGCTCTCCCCATGCCCCGCGCTTGCCCACGTTCTCACGCCCATTATTCGGCTTTATCTCGCGCGCCCATTGTATATCACATTTTGGCATCCCTTGGCGTGGCCTTCTCTGCCTCTGCTAACTGTATAAGGCATCGGCGACCGCTTCGGAAAGATATATAGTATATATATGAAGGGAGAACAAGTGTGGGGAGAAATATATTGTATATGCATGTGAAAACGCATACACACGCGCGCGCTCACACACACACATGCACACGCACACACATGCACACACACACACATGCACACGCACACACATGCACACACACACATGCACACGCACACACATGCACACGAACACACATGCACGCACATACATGCACACGCACACACACACACGCACACGCACACGCACACGCACACACATACACATACACATACACATACACATACACACACACACATACATACATACGCACGCACACACACACACACACACACACACACACACACACCACACACACACACACACACACACACACACACACACACACACACACACACACACACACACACACACACACACACGCACACACACTGATAGATAGATAGAGAGAGAGAAATCCATCTTTCATTTCCTTAATGAGTGTTTTTTTTCTTCTTTTTTTCTTCCTCGTAAGGATGGCATCAGTTCCGCGTTTTATTTCGGTGCAGTTTTTAAGAGATGGCATTTCATCGACCATTAGGAAACTCAAGACGGCCGTTCCGTTTTTTATTTACAATATGTTTAATCTTGTAAAATAAAATACTTTAGGAATATCGACTCCCTCTCCCTCTTTCTCCTTCTCTCTCCTATTTCTTTTTCTCCCCTTTTTCTCTATTTCTTTCCTCTTTTCTTTCTTTTTCTTCTCTTTCTCTCTCTCTCTCCTCTTTCTCTCTCTCTCTCCTCCTCTCTCTCTCTCTCTTTCTCTTTCTCTCTTTCTTTCTTTCTTTCTTCTTTCCTTTCTTTTCTTTTCTTTCTCTCTCTCTCTCTCTCTCTCTCTCTCTCTCTCTCTCTCTCTCTCTCTCTCTCTCTCTCTCTCTCTCTCTCTCTTCTCTCTTTCTTCTCTCTCTCTCTCTCTCTCTCCCTCTCCCTTTCTCTCTTTCTCCCTCTCCCCCCACCTCTCTCTCTCTCTCTCTCCTCTCCTCTCTCTCTCTCTCTCTCTCTCTCTCTCTCTCTCTCTCTCTCTCTCTCTCTCTCTCTCTCTCTCTCTCTCTCTCTCTCTCTCTCTCTCTCTCTCTCTCTCTCTCTCTCTCTCTCTCTCTCTCTCTCTCTCTCACTCTCACTCTCACTCTCACTCTCACTCTCACTCTCACTCTCACTCTCACTCTCACTCTCACTCTCACTCTCACTCTCACTCTCACTCTCTCTCTCCTCTCTTTCTTTCTTTCTTTTTTCTTTCTATCCTATTCTTGCGTCGCAAATGAACAAGGATATTCTTTACTCACATTCACAACGAAATAGATTTTCATAACATCAAAGAAAAGGGAATTATAAGATATTTGGGGGAATAAAATGACGTAAAAGACAAAAGTATATCTTCCCCAATGCATAAAAGTCATTTTTTCTCGAACAGATTCCCCCCCCCCATAATTCTTGCCTTCCCCAATATGAAAAAAACTTTTCAGAAATTGATATTCATATTCGAGATAATCATGTTCTTGCGTAATTTCTTTGTGGTGAAGGATAGAGTGGGTAGTTGGAGGGATAGAGAGGATAGTTGGAGGGATAGAGGGGGTAGTTGGAGAGATAGAAGGGGTAGTAGGAGGGATAGAGGGGGATTAAGAGGGTAGTTGGGGGATAGAGGGGTAGTTGGGGATAGAGGGTAGTTGGGGGATAGAGGGGGGTAGTTTGGGGATAGAGGGGTAGTTGGGGATAGAGGGGGTAGTTGGAGGGATAGAGAGGGTAGTTGGGGGATAGAGGGGGTAGTTAGAGGAGTAGAGGGGATAGTTGGAGAGATGGATAGATATAGATATTCAAGCAAAATAGACAAGCATCTGAATATTATAATGAAAGGGGTTGAATAATGGAAAAGGAGGGAGGTAATAGGTTTATAAATAATGTAATAGAATAGAGAAAAAAGATGAGGGAAAGTGAATAAAATAAAGAAATATTAAGAAGAAAGAGAGATAGAGAGTAAGGGAGATTGGAAAGCCTATCAGTAGATGCTGTTCATATCCTTTTAAAAGTTCCTTCGTGGTAAAATCCTCCAACTTCCTTTTTGTGGCAGATTTTCCCTCGATAATCATGAAATGTAAGTTATTAAAAAACACTCATGCTATTTTTTTTCTTCGAATATCCTTTGTCGAATAATCATTTTTGAAATGTTATTTGTTTTATATTTGTTTGCATCGAATTTTATTAAGGGATTAGTCATATGCAATATGAATAAACGAAGAAGAATATGCAAATAAGATTAAATAGACGGAGACTAAATATAAAAGATGTGTTTTTATTTTCTCAATAGACGGCCAAGAAAAACATGCTATTTTAGTACTTGGGATTTCCTTCTTTTTCACCTCTCTTTCTTTTCGCTCCTTTTTATTGCCATTCTCCTTCTTTTCCTCCTCCTCCTCCTCCCCTTTTTGTTGCAGCTGTTCCTCCTTCTACTTTTTTTTCCTCCTCATTCTCTTCCTCTTTCTGTTGCTCCTCCTCAGTCTCCTTTTCACCCTCCTTCTTCCCCCGTCCTCCTCCTCTTCCACCTCCCACCTCCTCCTCTCTTCCTTATCCATCCAAGACGCCCCTTGAGACGAGCACCGCCCCCCCCCTCTCGCCTCCAGCAACGAATGGAGAGTTTAAAGCGAAGAAAAGGAGAAGAGAAGACGCTGCAATATCTCCATCGTCTTCGCGGAATTCAGGATACGTTTTAGATTGGATTTAGGACCATAGTTCACAGGGAGGGAATAAATACATCAGAATTGTTTGTACAGGTTAATGATGAGGAAATAACTACTGTGGGGTTATCGAGTTTTGTATTTAGAGAATATCATAAAATAACATCCGTTTTTTATTTGATATCGGTATATAAAGTTTTCATAGTTTTTTTGTGGCAACGTTAACAAAGGAAAGTGACATCAATCTGCTGAATGTGTACAGGTGAGGATGTGACGTCACGAGCACAGCATTACGTCATGCCTGACCCTACAACGTCACTGATGACGTCACATCGCAAATCGACCTGTGTTTTATTGCGAAAGATCGAAACGGTAATACTCGAGTGAAAATTCAGACCCATTTTCTTCCTGTCATGAGTGTGGCGTGTGGATCCCCCCTCCCCGTCTGCCCTCCCCTCCCCCCTCCCACAGTGCTTCGGGAGGCAGCCGCGTCAGCACGAATGCGTCAGCGCGCCCTGTCCCGTCGTCTGCGAGGCCTGCAGAGCCTTGTAGAGTTCGTGCCACAGCCTCAGCGCCTCCGGATCCGCCGCCCCCACGCCCCTCTCGCCTCCGCCCTCGGGAAGGGACAGCCTGCCCCTCCCGGCCGCCGCAGCTGCAGCCGAAGGATCTAGTCGTAGGACCTCCTCCCGCGGTCCGTGCTGGGCCGAGTACGGGAGAAAAGGGACTTGGGAAGGTTGTTGAGCACGTCCGGCCGGTACATGTTGACCAGGTACTGTGGCATCATGGAGCCGAAGCCGCGCTTGTCCGCTGCGGGTCCTGTGGGGATTCGGCCGCGCCTCAGCCAGTCCTCCTGCAAGGGATGTCGGGAGATGGGTGTTAGGATTAGGGCGGAATGGGCGTGCGCAGCCAGATTCCGAGTATCTGCTGCGTCCACAAATAGGAAAGTTTTATCGACTTTTGTTATTTGTCGTGCGTATGATAAGGGTTTGTCAGATAGCTCAAATCTGCAAAAGTATTAGCATTTGCAACTATATGTTTAGTGTTTACAAATTTGATTTGATATTTTTGCGTGTTACTGTATACGGATAAATTTTGTTGTGTGATAAAATTTTATTTGAAACGTAATAAAGTCCTGTTCTGGTCATTAGTTAAATGGATCACATTTTTAATCATGCTTAACAACTTTCCTATCTTCGGTATAGAGAAATAGAGAAAATACAAATAGCGTACGACAAGGAAAAGAAGAAAAAATGTGCTGGCCTATCCTGTCATGAACGGAAAAAGGAAGGAACAAGAAAAAAGAGGAATAAAGGGAGGAAGAAGAGGAAGAGCGTTTTTGCTGACGAGTAATTTTACATCGATTTTTAGCCTCTTTTTGTCGACCAAGCAGAAGACATCCATTGAACGATACAATTTGATTTCAGAAAGGCATGTCAATACCCAGTCCTTAAAGCATATAGCCATTTCGTTGATCGATCAGTGCGTCTACCTTCTGCAGACATTCAGAAGGGTCAGTTTAATAGAAAGAAAATAAATAGAAAAGGCAAAGGACAGAAGCAAAGGGAAGAATGATATATAGACTTTCAGGGAGGATTCTCAATAAAAATACACACAAAGTACACACAGAAAAAAATCCCAGGTACCAGGGTAAATAAGTGCACACAAAAGACTGTGTATATACGTATATGCGTATACATGTGCGTATGTCTACACGTCTGTATGCGTCTGTCTATACACCACACTGACATCGCCCTCATTACTGCCAACCCCGCGTGACCTGCCCCTCGACCTCTCACCTGGACGGGGTAGTCGGCCACCTCGAGTTCTGGGTCGAAGCCGTCGCGTGAGGCCTGAGTCCCTGTCCGTTTCTCCCAGAAGCCCCGTTTGAAGCCACTTGTGGGCGGGTAGGCGGGTCGTTCTGGGTCGTCGCGGAAGGGCATGGGCGGGTCGTTGAGCACCTCAGGGGGGAAGTTGTAGCCCGGGTGTGCCAGCGACAGTGCCATCGTCGTCGCCATGACCAGTGCCGAAAGGCTGAGGGTTAGGCCTAGGTTTTGCTGTGGGGGAGGGAAGGGAGGGAGACGGTGAGAAAGAGAGAGAGATAAGAGAAAGAGAGAGAGAGTGAGTGTGAGTGTGTGAGAATGAGAGTGAGAGAGAGAGAGTGAGTGTGTGAGTGTGAGAGTGTGAGTGAGAGAGAAAGAGAGAGAGATACTTGAGCAATTCACGTATGTGTGTGTGTGCTCTATTGATATCTGGCTTGTCATTCACAACCTATAGCTTTAAATAGATACCTGCATTTCAATCTTCCACATGCAATGGAAAGAAGACATCGATATTAAAGTCAAGAAAGTGAAAGGAATGCACAAAGATTCGACATTCCGCCTCGATCGACTCGTTAATAGCCGAACGGACATTTTTATCGCTAATGCTCATTTCTACATTTCAATTCAGTTTCTTAGAATCATGCGGTTTATTGCGTATACTTTCGTAGAAGTATTTATCATTATTATTAGTATTCTTCTGTATTCATTCCTTCATTGCAGCCTCTTACGTTCGAATCTCGCATAAGAACCTCGTAATTTGAGAACTTTCGTTAATAACAAACAACTTTTCTTTCTACCGGTTAAAACTCACCCCCAGAATTTATTTCGATAATCAAAAATTAAATCGCGATTAGATAAAATGTACCTCCTTGAATGATTCAACGGAGAAAAAAAAATCGAAGACCGTGAATTAATTAAAGCCCGCCCACCTCGCCCTCAAAATGCTATTATCAAGATGGTGTTTGAAGGAAAATAAGGAATTAATCTCGTCGAGATGTTTAAAGACAAACATTAATCACATTCAGGATTGGGAGGGAAGGAAAATCCAATCTCGAATTCGGGAAATTTAATTAATATTGACTTTGCGGATGATGGAATTTGCTCGCCTTGGAAAATGCGCGGGAAAAGCAAGAATGCAGACTATGGGGGCAAAATAAGCGGTGTTTTCAACGATATTCGTCTGTAATCTTTCGTCGGAATTATCGGGAACATTTCGAGAAAATATTTTTTTTTGTATTGCACTTCTTCATTTGTTACGTTAATTCTGTTTGATTCTTTTCTTGGTGTGTGTGTGTGTGTGTGTGTGTGTGTGTGTGTGTGTGTGTGTGTGTGTGTGTGTGTGTGTGTGTGTGTGTGTGTGTGTGTGTGTGTGTGTGCGTGCGTGCGTGCGTGCGTACCCGCGCGCGCTATTAATATATGCGTTTGTAATATTATAAAAAGTTTACTATCCTAGTAATTTCGTAATTTGGCTCATCCACCGACGGGACTCCAATATATCTTTATCAATATATTTCTTCCCACTCTCCCACTTTCGCCTTTTCAGAGAGGGAGTGATTGATTATTTGAGATGATTTTCCGCGCCATTTTCAAAGGGAGAAGAACGTATTACTCCTTGTGAACGGTCTTGCCAACGGTCTCTTTGTGCGGATCCAAGTGTGTCTGCCTCTTGTGCCGATTTGGCTGCAGGTTAGGCGATGCGGGACTTTTGCGTGCTTTATCTATTTGTGTGTGTCTGTGTGTGTCTGTATATATATAATATGTATATATATATATATAATATATATATATATATATATATATATATGTATAATATATATATACATATATGTATATATATGCACATATATATACATATACATACGTGTGCGTGCGTGTGTGTGTGTGTACGTGTATAAAAATATGTATATATGTTTATATGTATATGTATATATATATATATATATATATATATATATATATATATATATATATATATATATATATAATTCTCTCATTTAGACACTGATAAGGAAGGGAGTATGAAAGCAAAAGTACTAGTTCATTGCTTTCAGAAATGCATCTTTTATATATATCTATATACATACATACAGGCATATAGATAGGAAGATAGATTTATAAATATATGTATGTATATATATACATATATATACATATATGCATATATATTCTAGACATTTTTATCGAAGAAAGTAAAGAAGCAAAACGAATCAACGCTTTGTGGCCGCCATGAGCATTCGAAAATGAATCAAATGGAAAATGGGAAGAAAAATACGAAATGAAGTTCCAACCATGTCTTATTTATCTGTCTTTCATATAATTATTTTCATAAAAAATATACTGCTAACGACGAGAGGGTTAGTGGACTAGAATGAATATATTCAGATACAAGAAGTAAGAAAACTGAAAAGGGAAACAGGAAGGAGAGATAAATGAAGGGTATGCAAAGCACTTTAACGAAAACACCGGGGAAAGAAAAGATAAGAATAAAAGATATCGTAGAAATAAATGGATACATTTAAATACAGTATATAAATAAACTTTAAACCGAAATGAGAAATAACACAAATCTATCACCCTTAAGATCAATCAGTCAGTCAAAAAAAATGTAATACAATATCAAAATATAAATAAATGTAAATGTTCGTTATCCCTCGACCAATGGCAGTTACACTAAAGAGAGAAAAGAAGAAAAATATTTGGCGACTAAAAAATAAAAATTGTTACTCCCTAGATTTCAGCATCAGCCAGTGACGAAGAAGAAAGAAAAGGGACTATGGATATAAGATAAAGAATCGAATAGACATCAAAAGCAATGATATTTAAAAATAACGCCCTACCACAGAAAAAAAGAATAAGAACACGTAGAAATAGCTATAAAGAATAACCAACGAATGAGGCAAGAACGCATCAATCAAAGCAAAGGGAGAGCAGAAACGAAAACGGATAATTGACAAGAACAAAGAAAATCACTAATCCCTGAAATAAAAGTAACAAGAACGAAAACAGACAGGAAAAAGTAGAATGCAAGAAAACCTTCACATTTTCTCACACTCTGACTCAAACTTAAAAAGAAAACAAGACGAACTCTGAAGATCACTTAGTCAAATACAACATTAAACAACGCCCCTATAATAGAGAAAAAAACGAAAAAAAAAAAAACATAAACAAAACTAATACGCCTGTACTCACCGCAACCTCGCCCTCCGCCAAAACAAGAAACGAGAGGGAAAAAAGCGCGGGAAAATGACAAAGACCCTTCCCTGCCTTACCTTCATTGGCGCCTCGCTAAATGGACTCCCGCGCTCACGACCTGTGTGTGTTCTCCCGGCTTCCGTCTGGTTCTGACGCCGGTCTGCCACACACTCCCGTATTTCTATGTCCTCCGTGTGCCGGGCCGTCACGCATGCGTCTTTGGGGATGCCTTCATTCTTCTCTTCGGTTCCTCCTCCTCCTCCTCCTACACTTTCTTCTCCTACTCCTCCCACTCTTACTCCCCCTCCTCCTTATCCTCTTACTCTTCCTTACCTTCGTTCTATCGCTCTACCTTCATCTCTTCTTCGCTATTCTTTCTCTAGCCTCCACTTCGTCTTTTTTCATTTCCCCTTCTGTTTTTCCTCATTTTCTAACTCCCTCTTTCTCCTTCTCTCT